TGGATATTGAGTGTGTTTATTGGAAGCATTTCCCTTCTGATTTCCAGACTGAGTTTTATTGATGACTCATTCCTGACTATGAGAAGGTGAGGTGTCAATATCTGGGAGGTGCAGAGTGTCAGAGGATTCTTACTGATTTCCTTGAGTTCTGTGTGTGTTGGGTGCTGATTATTATCCTTTGGACTGTGAATGGTCAGTTCTCTGTGTGTGTTGGGATCTGGATCTTTCCTGTTTTTTCACAAATCCTTCCAAGACCCCCAGCACCCTAGCTCTGTTAAGTCAGAAAAGAAGAAAATGGTTTTGTTCAAATAAAGCCTTTCACAGCCACCACATGTTCCAAATCATTTACAGAATCATAGAGATGTATTGCATGGAAACAGACCCTTTGGTCTAACTTGTCCATGTCAACTAGTTGTCCTAAATTAATGTAGTTCCATTTGCTAGCATTTGGCTTGTATCCTTCTAAACCATTCCCATTCATAAACCCATCCATATGCCTTTTAAATGTTGTAATTGTACCAGCCTCCACCACTTTTTCTGGCAGCTTGATCCATACGCACAGCATCCTCTGCGTGATAAAGTTGTTCCTTAGGTCCCTTTTAAAATTTTCCCCTCTGACCTTAAACCTGTGCCCTCTAGTTTTGAACTCCCCTGTCCTTGCAAAAAGACCTAGGCCAATCTAAATGTTTTCTGTTTTCATTTGATTTTATAGAACACATTTCTAAATGGAGTAAACTTTAGGTCATTGTTACATTAAAGATATGCTGTATAGCAAAGACTGGTCTTTCTGAACACAAGTTGACATCACAGTGAAACGAGAACTCACTTTACACTCCACTCAACTGTCCTTTCCATTGTGCCAACGGTGCCTGGGAAGATAGGGATCTGGGTGGAGGAAAGAAAGTAGCCACATTGTCTGGTCCTGGTCACTATCCAGTATCCCTGCTGGAAACAGAGGGTGTGTGACAGAAAAGTGAGAAAAATGAAGTACTTGTATCTTATCCCCCACACATGGCAATAGCAGACTCGTAATCACTGTGGAACAGTCTCTGAGGAGTCAGCCCTTCAGCAAAAAAGGAGAGGGAGTTGGAGGAAATCATGTTTCCTTTTCCTGTTTTACAGAAGGAATGCATCGTACTACATCAGAGATTACAGAGAGGATAGAAATCGCAGATAGATCCTGACCATCATCCAAGGAACAACTGCACAACTGTGGGAAGACGTCCAGTACCTTCACAGCATTGCTCAACACAGAGAAAGTTGGGCAGTGAAAACATCATGTAGAAATAGGTTGGGTCAGGGGAGTTTTGACATACAATTGGATCGGAAACTGGTCAGTGGTGTGGAGCCTTCCATTAGAACGAACCTTCCTGAAAGTTCAGCTGTGTGTGATCAGTCAGGGTGAGACTGGGAAGAAGTGTGAGTGGCTCCAAGTGTGATGAGAGCTTAAATCATTTGTTTGATATTTTCTAAATAAACCATTCAGAGAGATTATTTACATCCTGGTGAAGGTGAAGCCTGATCTCCTGATTCAGAGGTAGGTACTCAACCATCATTCCACAACAAATTCCACATTTGTTTTTAAGCACTTGTTTACAACACACACATTGTGAATACAGTGCTGGAGACCACGTGCCCATTTCTCAAGTTGTGAGATTTCCTCATTTACAAGGTGTACCTTTTTGGGGCACCTCTATGAAAGGCAACGTACTGAAGTGTGGGATGAGCAACAAAGTATTTGTGCAGTCTTTGAAGCCCATGAAACACCAACGCATTCACTCTGGAAAGAAGCCATTGAAGTGTGATGTGTGTGACAAATCTTTCTTGCATTTATCAACCCTCCTTGAACACCATCGCATCCACACAGGAGAGAAACCATTCAGGTGTGAGGTTTGCAACAAATCATTCTCAACATCATCGAACTTACGCAGTCATCTACGCATCCACACTGGGGAGAAACCATTCACATGCGAGGTATGCAACAAATCATTCTTGAAGTCATCAAACCTGCGCAAACACCAAAGCATTCATACAGGGGAAAAACCCTTTACATGCAAGGTGTGTGACAAGTCATTCTTACAGTCGTGGACTCTACTCGAACACCAGCGCATTCACACAGGGGAGAAACCATTCACGTGCGAAATATGCGAGAAATCATTCTCAATATCATCAAACCTCCGCAGACACCAACGCATTCACACGGGGGTAAAACCATTCACGTGTGAGGTGTGTAATAAATCATTCTCAATGTCATCGAATCTCCGTGCTCACCAACGCACTCACACCGGGGAGAAACCGTTCACATGTGAGGTCTGTGACAAATCATTCTCGCATTCATCCACACTGCTCGAGCACCAACACCGCCATACAGGGGAGAAACCATTCACGTGCGAGGTGTGTGACAAATCGTTCTCGCAGTCGTCAAATCTTCGTGCACACCAACGTATTCACACTGGGGTGAAACCGTTCAAGTGTGAAGTGTGTGACAAAACATTCTCACGGACATCAAACCTCCGTGTACATCAACGCATTCACACTGGAGAAAAACCATTCGCTTGTGAGATGTGCAACAAATCATTCTCAAAGCTGACCAGTGTCCTTGCCCACCAACTCCGCGCACACCAAACAGTTCACCCAGGGGAGAAACTACTCACCTGCGAAGTGTGTGACAAATCATTCTCAAAGTTATCGACTCTCCGCATACACCAACGCATTCACACTGGCGAAAAACCATTCAAGTGTGAGGTGTGTGACAAAGCATTCTCACGGTCATCAAACCTTTGTGTGCACCAACGGATTCACACAGGAGAGAAACCATTCACATGTGAGGTGTGTAGCAAAGCTTTTACTCAGTTATCGAGCCTCTTGGTCCATCAGACAATCCACACAGGGGAGAAACCGTTCAGATGTGAGGTTTGTGATAAAGCTTTCCCAACATCCACACGGCTCCTGATGCACCAGAGGATTCACACAGGGGAAGAACCCCTCAAATGTGAGGTTTAAAACAAATGATTCTTAGAGTCATGGAAACTCCTGCTCCATCAAGGATCTAGTATCAGAGGGGATTAACGCTTCAGGTGTGAAGTGTGTGACAAGGCTTTCACATAGTCAGCATGCCTCCTGATTCATCAATACACTCACGCAGGGCAAGTCTTGTAAATGTGAGTTTTGTCATAAAATTGTTTTGATAATCACATTGGTTGACCTCCTAGAACATCAATGAACTCACACACGAGACAAAACCTTGCAGTGTGATGTGTGTCAGGATTGTTTCACCCCCAATTCCTCTCTCACCAGACACCAATGTCTCCACATGGACTTAGAGCTGGGTCATCTGCTTCTGTTGCACTGAGAGCTGTCTGTGTTGTTTACCCTCCAGTGCTCACACAGTACAGGGTGGGGGGATGCTGTCATTCCAAAGCATTGTCTGTCTCAAACTGCTTCCTCCTTCAGGCCAATTGTTTCAAGAAGTTCAATTTAAACTTTCTGAAGAAGGGTCCTGACCCGAAACGTCAGCTTTCCTGTTCCTCTGATGCTGCCTGGCCTGCTGTGTTCCTCCAGCTCCACACTTTGTTATCTCTGACTCCAGCATCTGCAGTTCTTGCTATCTCAATTTAATCATTGACCAGATCACCAAACATCACCAAATGAAGACATAAATATATTTGAGAAGCTCCTGTACAAACTCAGCATCCTTCCACTGCAGCGTCAGGTACAAGTCATTCACTGACTCTCACTTTGACCAAGAAAACACTCAGATACTCAATGGTTAGAAGGGCTTCACTTGCTTGCTTAGTGAAGCTGCCTGTGCAAGAAAGCTGGAGTTGTGCCCATGAGTAAGTGCTGAAGTGCAGTTTCAAGATGCCTGGTAAGTGAAATCCCAGGCAAGAAGGGTGACATTCTGGCACATGAGCTGTAGTTGAGGCAGTCTGTCACAGAGTTGCCTTTTAAAGTTTCAGCCTACAAGACAAAATTGGAAGTCCTTGTAAATTTTAGTTAGATTTCATTACCCACTGTGTCATTAACATCTGGTGCAGTTTCTGAGGAATCCCGTGGGATCTATCTTGTTTGTATTTGCTATTGATGAAGTCTTTTTGACCACATTTTTTCTATGACACACTTACTTAGCTCATGTTAATGTTGGATGTTAGAATGTAATTTATGTCAATATTGTCAACTTTTTTAGTACTGTAAAGTTTATTGTTTAATCAAAACTGTGGAATCTTGTGGCTTTATTTTTGGATAAGTACCTGGGAAAGCTCAAGGATTGGAGGGAATTTGAGGACAACAGCTTGTATCTGTAGAGTGCCTGGATATAGTGAAACCAAAATGTTTCAAAGGGATGTAATCAGACCAAAAATAACTCTGAGATAGAGAAGGAGATATTAGGAGGGGGTCACCAAAATTATGGCATCAGTGGCATTTAGGGGAATTCCTAAAGGAAAGAAGAGAGATAAAGATACAGAGAGGTTTAAGGAAGGAATTGTGAAACATGAAACCTGAATAACATGGCTGTCAATAGTCAGGTGAAGGGAGTTGGGGTGGAGGAATGTACAGAAGGTAAGGACTGGAGCAGCACAGAGATCTGAGTGAGATAAGAGGCTAGGCATTACAAAGTTATGGACGGGCAAGGTCATGAAGCAATTTGTACTTGACTGTCAGGATTGGGCATAGGATAAAATTGTACTGCTTTAGTTAGTGATGTGAATTAAAGGCAGATTCATGTCGGAGGATCTCTTTGTGGGTCTGCTTCTGGTCCTAGCCATTAACAGGTCCAGGCAGTGGGCCATGGAGGGGGTCATTATGGCCAACTGCCTGCCCCTCTTCCGTGGCTATGTTCGGACCTGGGTGTCCCTGGAAAAGGAGCACATGGTGTCTGCCAACACTCTTGATGCCTTTAGGGAGAGGTGGGCACCGGAGTGTGGAGGGCCTTATTTCCTCTTTCAATTCCATTTTGATTTGATCCGTACCCTCTCCCCTCACTTTTTCTTTCACATAGGCATTGCCCTGGCCGGGGCTCTGCTTGTCACTGGTTCTTTGGCCATATGGGTTTTTTCCTGGTGGTGGGAATGTTAATAAAGTTATTTACATGCCTGGTGTTTTCACTGTGTCTTACACCTACATACAATAATAGGAAAAACAGAAGATTAGAATCTCCTCAGTTGAGGACTAACTCTGAGCTGGCTGGCCACAGCCAGTATGCTGTGCAAAAAGGGGAAAAAGAAAAAAAAAAGGCAGATCCTCTTCAGGTGATGGGTCTTTGAGTAATATGTTTGTACTCTCCTATCTGGTGGGGGTGAGTGTCTACAGACCTGAGTTCCCTCAGCCCATCATACCTTGAAGTGATAACAGTGTGATATGTTTACTTTATGCTCTTCCAAGATTCATTTCAAGTCCTGAGAAAGATCTTGAGTCATTTATTCTTTATTATTTTGGTTAATTCAGAGCTTTGTGTTGCCACCTGACTATTTACATCAATCAGCTGTATACAGTTATTACTTGCAATAAATCGAATTTTGTTTGCTTGGCCCATCTACCTGCTTTGTCATTGTGGTGTGTTCATATTCACTGAAACATTCAGGATCCTACAGTAACAGTCCTGTATACAATATATTGGTTAATATCACTGTGGGCTGGGATACTTTCTCCATCAATGGCTTTATAATTCCCCATGTAAGAAAGAAATTAATATATCAACTTCCACAATCTCAGTCTGTCTGACATACCTTACAATGAATTATATACTTTTGAAATATGGTCCCTGTTGTAATAAGTAAATAAGAACTAGAAGCAGGAGTGGGCAATTCAGCACCTCCTGCCTGTTGTGCCATTTGATATAATCATGGCTGATCTCATCTCAGCCTCAACTCCAATTTACTGTCCACTCCCCATAACCCCCCATATTAATCCATTACTAACTAACAATCTATTTCCTCCTTAAATTTAATCAAGTCCCAGCATCTACCACATTGTGATAGTGAATTCTACAGATTCACGACCCTTTGAGAGAAATAATTTCTCCTCATCTCTGTTTAAATCTGTTACCCCTTTCCTAAAATTATTACCTCTCATTCCAGATTGCCCCAAAGGGGAAACATCTACTTTGACAATCCCCCTTAATACTTAGATCTCCTTGCATTCATCTAAACTCCACATAGTACAAGCCTAAACTGTTCAACCTGCCTTCATAAATCAAATGCTCATCTCTGGAATCAATGCAGTGAACCTCCTCTGAACTGCCTCCAATCTAATTACATCTTCCTCAAGTATAGGGACCAAAATTATATGCACTATTCCAGGTGCAATCTCATTCATGCTTTGTAATATTTACAGCATCACTACCCTACTTGTTTACTCTATTCCTTTAATGATAAGTGCCAAAATTCCATTTGCTTTCCTTAATTCCCTCTGTACCTGTGTACTAAATTCTATGATTCATGCACAAGGTCAACCACATCCCTCTCACTGAAGCACTCTTAAGTTTCTCTCCATTTAGATAATAGGTTGCTTTTCTTTTCCTCCAAACAAAATGGATGATCTCACACTTATCCATGTTAAATTCCATTTTGGCCTATTAACCTAACCCAGCTGCAATCATTTGTAAATTTCTTATTTCTTTATTGCAACTTACTTTACCATCTATATTACTGTCATCTGCAAACTTGGCTATGGTGCTTTCTATACCCTCATTCAAATCATTAATACAGATTGAAAATCATTGGGGCCCAAGGACTGAATCTTGAGGCACCCCACTGGTTACATTCTATCTGCCACAAAAAGACCCATTTATCCCGACTGCTTTCTGTTGGTTAGCCAATCCTCTATCCAAGCTAATATATTACATGTAACCTCATGTGATTTTACTTTGTCAAATTATTAAATGCCCCTGGAAATCCAGATATAGTATGACTTCAAGATCACTATTATTTATATTGCTTGTTATATCTTCAAAGAGACATAGGGCCTGTACTGCACTGTAATGTTCTATGTTCTATTAAGATCTCTAACAAATTAATCAAAAATGATTTACCCTTGATAAAAATATTCAGACATCTGTTTGTTTGGTGCACTGTAAAGTCATGTGTATATTGGTTGTGGGCATTTGCACTCCATTTTCAGTTACCTTCTGCTCTATTTTTAGTTGCACTTCAGCCCTACCTCCTGATCTTCGAGTACCTGATGCGGAAGGGTGCAGGCAGGTCGGAGGATCTCCTCATGGGTCTGCCCCTTGGTCTGACCAGACTGGTTATTAACAGGTCTAGGCAGCGGGCCTTGGAGGGGGTCATTTTGGCAGACTGTCTACCTTTCTTCCGTGGCTATGTTTGAGCCCAGATGTCCTTGGAAAGGGAGCAAGTGACGTCCACCAATGCTCTCAATGGATTTAGGGAGAGGTGGGGATCACGGGGGGTGGAGTGCTTTATTTCTCCATCTTTTTTGATTTAATCCCAGCCTCCCACTTCACCTTTTTTTTTCCACATAAGCATTGCCCCTATCAGGCCTTGCTTGTTACTGTCGCTCTGGCCACAGATGTGTTTTTTCTGGTGGTGGAAATATTGAATAAAATTATTTAGCACAATGGTGTTTTCACTGAACCCCTGCACTTACAAACAAAAAAGAAAAATAAAACCATGCTAACTCTGATAGGTTGTATTTTGACTTTCCAAATTTCCTGTAATTACTTACTGAATAATGAATTCTAACAACTTCCCAATGACAGATATTGAACTAACTGGCCTATAGTTCCCTGCTTTCTGCCTCCCTCTCTTTTTGAATACGCATTTTTCCAATCAACTGGAACCTTTCCCGCATACAGGTATTTTGCAATACTATAACCAATGAACGTACCATCTCTGCTGCCACTTCCTTTAAAACTCTAGGATGTAGGCCATCAGGCCCAATGGTTTGCCCAGCACATGGGGCAGCACGGTGGCTCATTGGTTAGCACTGCTGACTTCCAGCATATGGGTAACTGTCTGTATGGAGTTTGCACATACTCC